ACTCACCAGCTACCCTGAGGGAAAAAGATGTGGCAGTCTTCTTCCGAGTAGGTTGATAGCCTTGGAAACCCTATGGGGCAGTTCTACTCCGGACGGTTGGGTCACTGTGAGTTGGAAGTGACTCGGTGGCAGTGGGTTGGATTTCAGTAGTCTGCTGGTGGTCTCAGACACCACACTTGGGCACATACACCTCCCTATTGACATCACAGGCACACCTTACATTCAGCCCAGCGAAGTCAGAGCTTCATCCAGTCACCCTCTGCGCCTCCATGTCCCTCCCCAAAGGCCTGGCTCCTATACCTTAATCAGAGTGCAAAGCAGGAAAGCCCCTATGTCATAGGTCAAACCAAGTGCTACGGCCAAAGGGAGAGAGATGGTGTGTTTCTGGCCTTGTCCCATCTAACTGGAATCCCTGCTGCTCTCACCGAAGTCGTGCTTGGGGAGTGTTCAGGCCCCATCCTGCCCTCACACTGTGCACAGCCGGCTGAAACACCTCAGAGTACAGAAGGCAGGTGGAACAGAAACCTCTGTATTCATCCACTGTTCATCACCCATTGCCCCTGGGAGAGGCAGGCCCAGAGCAAGCTAAGCTTCTGGTCTTTCTAGAGGATCAGGAAGCTCCTGGGTTGACAGAGATGCCGGAGAACTGAAAAGATGAATACGAGGGATGAGTGTGAGGAAGGCAGCAGCTCTGGAAGCTACAGAACCTCCCCGAGCCTCTGCCGTCAGCTCTTCTAGCTCCGAGAGGCCTGCCACGGCTCCTTCGGGCATCCCTTGTGGGGCAGTGGTCCTTAGGATCTGTTCTCTAGAAGATCCAGGCAGGGCCCCCAACAGCTCTGTGTGGCCCACTCCTCGCCCAGGCCAGGGCCCCACGGCTCACCTTGTGATGGAAGGATCCACACCCTGGTCATGGCAGCGTGGGTGCTGGTGTTGAGACCAGCAGCCATGGTGGCAAGATTGGTGGCTGTAATGCTGGCAGTTGCAGCTGGCCGTTGGTTTTTTGACCGGTACCTTCTGCGACTGCTCTTGAACATCCTGGGGCCCCGATTCCGGGGCTGGCCCACACCTGGCCTGAGGTAAGGGAACCTAAAGCCCGGGGGCCGAGGGGCACGGACGAGATGAGAGGGCCCCATGACCACAGGGAGCTGCTACAGGTGCTGCTGGTCAGGCCAGCTGCTCAGACCTTTATTGCCATAGGGAGTCTACATCAGAGTGACCCTCTTAGTCACAAATGCTGACCCCAAGCCCCTCCCCAGGGCACAGACTACCTCACAATCCTCTCCATGGAGCCAGCCCAACTGCCAGTCCGAGCTTGGCTCCTTGGGAGAAGGAGCTCTGGGGAGGGGGGGAAATGCCTCCCTCACTTTATCATTCATCCACATGAACAACATGACCCACGCTTAGTCAGCAAGTCCTCCATGCTGAACATTTCACATGATTTCATTTCACAATCACCCTTTAGGAAGGTTCTGTCATTTTCCCTAATTCCATCACTGACCCACTGCCATTAAGTGTATGCCAACTCCTAGTGACCCCAAGTGGGTTTCAGAGGCTATAAATCTTTACGGGAGCAGGCAGCCTCATCTGGGTCCCGAGGAACACCTAGTGGGTTTGAACAACCAACCTTGTGGTTAGCGGTCCAACGCTTACTCAACAGCACCACTAGGGCACCTGATTTTATATATATATATATATAAAGCTATTTTATATAAAGTCTTTTCTATAGAAAGAGCTTCATCGGAGGTAGCATGAGATGAAGTCACAAAGGCAGGCAGGGGCTCAGAATCACGACCACTCCCTGCAGCATTGGAAATGTTTGCTGTTTTACAAGGAAGCGCCCTGGTGTCACAAGCAGGTTAAACACTGGGCTGCTAAACAGAAGGTGGGTGATTCAAAACCACCAACTGCTCCAAGGAAGATGAATGAGGCAGCCTCAGAAACCCTAAGAGCCGGTTCTACCCTGTGCACTAGGGTCTGACTATGAGTTGAAATGGAATCGCATGGGCAGCAGCAGTGGGGGGTGGGGGGCAGTCTGCATTTAATCATTCACTCATTTAGAAAACGTTCGCCGACAGCTTCATCTGTCCTGGACAGCTGAACATAAATGAATGTTCTTCCTGAGAGGGAAGAGAAAGTCTCATGAACAATCAACCAAAGGCACACCTACATTCCCCTTGGCTTGCAAAACCTTGGTTTGTAGGAGGAAGGAGAGTCCTGTCACTGAGTTGCTGTGAAACTTTGCCCTGGCCCCTCCTCCTCTGCACCTCAGTCCCCCCTCCTTCCCCTTCTCATCTCAGTGGAAGACTTCCCATGAGCTTCTACCCTCTCGGTCTTTGCAGGAGACTGCTGGGAAACTGTGAGGTCCTTACACCACTCCCCAGAGCTGCATCCCTCCTCCACCCCTGCCACCTCAGTTCTAGAAAATGACCTGGCCCCTATCAACTCTAGCCACCATCCCTGTAAGCCCAGCCGCCCTTGTTTCCTCTGGCCCTCACCAAGGCTTCCTCCCCAGCTCTTTCTGGAAGCCAGCCCCTCCTGCTTCCTTACGGACTCCATCTCCGTTGTCCACTTGGTGGTTAAGATGTTGTACTTGGGTTGAATCCTGGCTCTGTCGCTTAAATATTGTGTGATCGTGGCAGGTTACTGTGTTTTCAGTCCCTTAAATTTAAAATGAGGATTCAAAAGAGAAGCTATCTCATAGGACTGCTGTGAAGGGAAGAGGGACTAAATATAGGTAACTTAATTAAAACATGATCTGCTCAAATGGTGGTGTTAACCCATCTCTTTCAGGTCCCTTCAGCGGCCTCCTCCCATCTACAAACAAAACAAAATTCTACTTCCTCCACTCCTTACCCATATAACTTCTGACTATCACTCTCTCCTCTCTGACCTTCTCAGTCTCTGGTCACTCCCATATTAATGTCCTAGAGTGGGTAGGGAATCTTATTTTATGACGCCATAACTATTCTGTTAGGCAGACCAAGAAACAGAGATGGGAAGCCAGGACTAAGAGACGTTCACAGGGTCACACAGCCAGGAAACGACAGAACCAGAATTCCCGTTCCGATCTGAATGCCGCTAAAGGCAGAACTTTCCCAGTAGCTCTGCATCAAGTGCGTTGGAGTAAAACAGAAGGGGGGCGGGGGAGTCTTGGCCTGGAAGTGGCACAAACGGGGAAGGAAAGATGAATGAGGATGGGAAACAAGTTTTAGAACCAGGGGTGTCTCCTTGGTTGGAGCCTGGTGCCACCTGCTGGCAGGAGTGGGCAGCGAGGTCATAGACTGGGGAGAGGGGAAAGAAAGAAGGGGGAGGGAGGGGAGAGAGAAGGGGAAATTTAGGGTAAAGATGGGGATCGTGTTAGGGTACAAAAGAAAGCCCAAGCCTCAAACACAAATTAAAGGAGAACATTAAGTCTTAAATAGGAAAAGACAAGACAAAGACATATCAGGATGAGAGCAAGGCAATTAACACAAGGTCTTTTTTTTTTTTAATTCATCGTGCTTTTTGCTCCTTTTATATCTAGACAGTTTTATTGGGACATAATCCACATATCGTGCAATTCAATAGTTCAATCATATCAAGAAGAGTTTTGCAGACATTGCCACAATCCATTTTGGAGCATTTTCTTCTTTCTTGTGCTCCTTGTTATTAGTTCCTCATTTCCCCCAGCCTCCCCTCCCCACCCCCAAGGAACCATTACCTTACTGTCGCTATAGATTCGCCCAATCTAGATTTCATATGCCGACACACAGACAAAAACAAAGAATCCAAAAGCTGACAATAAAAAATAAAATAGAGGGAGAAATCCAGTTGAAAAGAAAGCAGAAAACATTAGCAACTAGAACAACTTTCAGATGGGTCACAGGGAGCACAAGGCTGGCTGTCAAGGGTTTGCAGCAAGTCATAGACTTGCAGAGGGCAGGGGAGAGCAAAGGCGACGTGGCAAAAGCAGGATTGGTGGCTGGCTGATCTATCACAGCTATGGGTGGGAGGACTACTGCGGGAACCGGACCATGACTGGGACACGTACACTATGCTAGACAGAAGAGTTTACAAGACCGAGTCAGATCCCTTGGACCACCACCACAGTCTGGATGGGACTCCGTGCCACATGACCCTTTCTTCCACTTCCATTTTCATGAAGGCCACACCCAAGGGAGTCCCTGAGGGCTACGGGTTGTCTCTCTGGACAGGTTGTGGTAGTGACTGGTAATTGATTTCTAATGCCCTCTGCCTGATGGCAAAGCTTTTCACTGCTGGCTAATGGTCTGAACGAATGCATTGGCGGCTGGATCTAGGTGGAGAGTCAAAAATGGATGTGGACCTCCGCTGTAAAGTACAGCCTTCGGCAAACTCCATACTAAGAAATGTTAGCTCTCAGACAGGAAGCTGGAGTTTTAGAGATTGAGAAGATCTGAGAGAAGTTTGCTACTTGGAAGAGGGGGCAGAGGCTACCAAACTCTGGGGGTTTTCCTTGAAAACTGTGTGTGTGTGTGTGTGTGTGTTAGAGACAGAGAGATAGAGAAACTTGTTCTCTTGTTCCTTTATTGCTGGGAATCAGTCCACAAAAGAGTTTTGTGTGTGTGTGTGTGTTGGGCATGTGCTCGTGCAAGCTTGTGCACGCACTAATAAGTGTTTAAGAATCTGTGGGTTTGATGTGTGAATGTGAGTGCCTGTGAGCATATGGAGTGCGTATGAACATATTAGCAGCTGTGAGATAAGAAACCTGTGTACATTGCTGTGATGAGAGACACACAGAAGCTCTGGGGGTGCTTGCCCCTCTCCAGGCCTCCCATTCCAAAGACCAGGAGGGCGTTGCCTTTGGTTGGTGTTGCCAGGAGGGAGCTGGCTGTTGCTGTGGCTCTGGGGACGGATCTCAGGCAGCAGGGGGCAGCAAGGGCAAGAGGAGATGGTGTACTGGCTGGGGTGGGGCGGAAAGGCGGGCAGAAGGAGGCCTTTAAAGCTGCTGCCCCGCCTGCAGGTGAGCAGTGGTGTGTACGAGCCAGCCCTGTCCTCTGCTTGCCCACTCAGCAGCGGCTCCCCGGAGTTGTTTGTCCAGATTGGAACCTCAGTTGATTCCTCTTCCAGAATCCACGCCACCGAGATCCCTGAACAGGTGATGGCGTAGGATAGGGACGCTTCTATGACGAGAAATCCACCTGGAAAGAGGTCTGGGGAGCTGGCAGGACTACAGGAAGGGTTCCTAGAAAGGTGTGGGGTTGGTTTGGAGAAGAATCCAGGATGTAGAGGTGACAGGAGGGACTTGGAGTGGGGGGTGGGGGTGGGGGTCAAGCTTGGGGTGCCTGCAAAGGGGCCTGGAATATTAGGATCTCTATGTATTTGGTGCTGGCAGAGGACGTGGATAATAAAGAGGGGTTCGGATGTCAGGATAGGGGTTGGGGCAAGTCTTGAGGTGTCAGAGTCCAGGTGCAGGAAGCTTGCTGACACGGGGGCTCAAAATGTTGGGGTCTGGCATGTCAGGGACGGCCTAGGTTGTGGGGCCCACTCACACATGTTTGCCTCTAGGAGCCACCATGCAGTGCTTCAACTTCCTTAAGACCATGATGATCCTCTTCAACTTGCTCATCTTTGTAAGTATGGGGAGGGGGAGGTACTCTCTGGGGATCCCTACAAGAGAGTGTGAGCTTGTGGTTTGGAGAATACTCTCCACAGACTAACGTTTCCCTCAAGTGGGGTGTGGCAGTCCCCCCAAATACCCAGTCCTGAGCCCAGTAGCAGCCCACTTCCCTCTAGGAAGCTTCGGCCCAGGATGGGATCAAGGTGGGACAGAGCCGGCTAGCCGATTGTCCCCTTTTCGGAGGTTTTGGAGAAACGAAGGTGTCGGTAAAGAGGTGAAGGAGTTTGCCAAAGGTCACTTCATATGGGAAGGAATTTCGTGGCCTCTGTATGTTGGGGAGCTGAAAGGAGACAGGCCCAAAGAAGCCAAGGAGCCCAGAGACAGAGCAGAGGGAAGGTCTACCTCAGGTAGCCCTTACTCGGTGCCCAACATTTACCAGCTGGTAACCACGGCTTTTCCCTTCCCTTGAGAATCTCAGGTCCAGCAGGGTCTAGGAACGAAGGGAGCCCGTAACAGGGGCTGAACCCAGCCTGGGGGGAGAAGATTTCCTGGAGGAAATAGCTGAGGCTGGGATTTTGTGCTCCGGTGGGTGGAGGTGAGGGCTTGTAAAACATGCATCAAGGCCGGGAAGTAATGAAACCAGATATGGCTCAGAAAGCCAGGAACAGGTTGCATAGGGCATGTTTGAGGAAGCTGAGCAATGAGGCGTGAACCCTGGCAGTGGGGAGACCTAGACAAAGGACAAAGCTCTCAGAGAGTGGCCGAGGGGGTGGCCGAGGGCTAGAGGAAAGGACAAGTGAGACAGAAGTCTTGGAGACGATGCTCGTTGTGCCTCTGATCGGAGGGCACTTGTCTACCCAGCAGCCTGGCCGCTCAGGTCTGAGCTGGACACAGGTCTTTGAAAGTCGTGTGCTCAGGGCTGGTTAGTGAAACCATGGGTGGGGGTGGGAGTACTCAAGGGAGGGAACTCTGGGAGATTGCCCCCGCCTATGAGGAATGAACAGAGAAATTGTAACCATGAAGGCAATGGAGAAGGAGTAATGGGGAAAGGTGGGGGGGGGTGGACCAGAGAGAAGACGGTGTCAGAGAAGCTTAAGCAGGGTAAGGCTCTGAGGTTGTCACCAGAGATCGCAGAGCCACGGTAGAGTGCGTAAACAAGCAACAAGAAGGTAGAGAGCCACTAGTGTGTAATAGGGTTTGGAGACATGGGGCTGGGCCAGTAACTTGACTCCCATGTAGTCTGTGCCTTGGTCTTTCTTTAGCTTCAAGGAGTTACCCTTTATCCTTGCATCTGAAGGAGGCAAATAGGATCTTGGGGAGTTGAAGAGCAGGACTCTGGCCTGATGGGGTTAAAGGCAAATCCGGTTTGATTTCTGGCCCCAGTTGCCTAGACCTCGCCAGGCTGTTTAGAGCAGGGTAGGGCAGGCCTCAGGCGCCTTGAAATTTGACACTGTAGGCTGGAAGCCTAGCTCTCTCTTCTTAAGCAAACGTGGGATCCAGCCTCCTCTGCCACCTACCTCTGGGCTCCAGCCTCAGTTTTCATAGCTGGGAAATGGGCTCTGGCCACTGGGTCAACAAGGCTTTGCTCCAGGAGCTGTGGGAGCTAGGCAGTGACTTCTCCATCATAGCCATAGGGACCCTCTGTTTGGGATTTAGTAGGAGAGCCTCCAAGAGCAGCTCTGGCTCTACTCCCCATCCGGTTGCTTGATTTCTCCTTGTGAGGCAAGGGGAGGCCAAGTTGGATAAGGGCAGGCTTGGAGTCAGACTCTGGAGAAGCCAGACTGGGCCTCCGGGTGAACGTTCCTTACTGTGCCCTCCGAGGTAGGTTAGGAGCAGGTGTACACCTCAGCCACACCTTGTTGCTACGGTGACTGTGCTCTATGCTTGCTCTATGCTAACCACCCCCCTCCCCGTTTATACCTATCAGAGATCAGAGAACAGAACAGTGTTGCTCCTGGCACCCATTGCACGAAAAAGAAATGGACTGGGTCCTCTCCCGCTGCTTCCATTCCCAGCTCTGTAGCAGGACCCTGGCAGGAATGAAAAGGAGCCCTGTCTCTCCCTGCACTGTTGTGGACATTTCGAGAACTCCTAATCCCATCATTACCTGCCCAGGTGTGCAGCCTGGTGCTGACCATGGGTGACCCAGCACCCAACTTTCTTGCTCTTGCCCCGCAGGAGGAGTTTCTAGCCACTTTAGCCTATATCTTAAAACAGAAACAAACTGCCATGGACTTGAATCTGACTCATAGAGACCCGACAGGGCAGAGTAGAACTGCCCCTATGGGTTTCTGAGACTGTCAATCTTATTATTCTGAGACTGTCGATCTTGATGGAAATAAAGAGAACCTTGTCTTTCTCCTGAGGAGCAGATGTCGGTTTTGAACTGCTTGACTAGAGGTTAGCAACCCAAGGCTTAACCCACTATGCTGCCAGGGCTCCTGTTAGCCTACGAAGAGGAAATGTGTTAGGTTTCCATCTCCCCGTCTCAGCTGCGTGGCAGGGAGCTAGTTGTTTCAAGGGCTGCCTAACTTCTCTGTCCTCAGCTGTGTGGTGTGGCCTTGCTGGCTGTGGGCATCTGGGTATCGGTGGATGGGTCCTCCTTCCTGAAGATCTTCGGGCCGCTGTCATCCAGTGCCATGCAGTTTGTCAACGTGGGCTACTTCCTCATCGCGGCTGGCGCCGTGCTCCTGGCTCTCGGGTTCCTGGGCTGCTACGGTGCTCAGACGGAGAGCAAGTGTGTCCTCATGATGGTGCGTCCGACCCAGCTCCACAGGCCTATGACCCAGGCTCAGGGTACCCTCACCCTTGACCCAGGCCCTGGGAATCCCCAAATCCTACTCAGGAATCCTTTTGCCCTGTTTCACAGGGCAGCGGGTGGCGGGGGGACCAGACTAGGGATAAGGAGGGCACAAAGGACTATCTTCCTAAAACACAGACCCTTGTCCCCCACTCAGTTCTTCTCCATTCTCCTCCTCATCTTCATCGCTGAAGTCGCAGCTGCTGTGGTCGCCTTGGTCTACACCACGATGGTGAGGTGCTGGGATGGGCCAGGGAGGCGTGTTAGGCAAAAAGCCTGCACATGACCATGGCCCGAGCATGGCCACCTTTCCCTATCCGCCCCTCAACACTGGCCTGCCCCCCCTCTCCCCCAAGGCTGAGGAATTCCTGACGTTGCTGGTAGTGCCTGCCATCAAGAAAGACTATGGTCAGCAGTCCGACTTCTCCCAAGTGTGGAATACCACCATGGAAGGGGTAAGGCGGGCTGGGGAGGATCTGAGGGATAGAGGGAAAGAAGCAAGGCCCCAACTGACTCCCTTCCCTTCTCGTCTCCAGCTCAAGTGCTGTGGCTTCAAAAACTACACGGACTTTGAAGACTCGCCCTACTTCAAAGAATACCATGTCTTTCCCCCTTACTGTTGCAATGGCAACAGCACAGCCAGTGTGCCCTGCACCAGGGAGAAGGCCGAGGCCGATCACGTGGAGGTGTGGAGCTGCCATGGAAGGGTGGAGATTTCTTTGCTGGCCAGAGGACCAGAATGGGTATGGAGGAGCACCTGCTAACTCTAGATGCTCTGTTCTCTTCCCCCAAGGGTTGCTTTAAACAGCTTCTTCATGACATCAGAACCAATGCGGTCACCGTGGGTGGTGTGGCGGCCGGAATTGGAGGCCTGGAGGTAAGGGGATGAGGGAGGTGACTGGGGCTGGGTGAGTCCCACCAAACCCACAGGTGGAGGCTGTTTGCCTCACCTCTGAGGCCTCGCTGGAGAAGGCGCTCCATGTAGGAGGGTAGTTAGGGGGCCCAGGACTAAAGCTTCAGGAGCCAGCCACCTTATCTGGTGTCTCCCTTCCTCAGCTGGCTGCCATGATCGTGTCCATGTATCTGTACTGCAATATGGACTGAGCCTGCTTCTGCTGCTGTCTTGTGGCCATTGGAAAGAGGCCCTCAGGCACTGCCAAGCAAGGGTGGGGCCAGACCTCACACTTAGCTGGGCCACAGAGGACCCAGCCTTGCTGCTCTGAATTTGGGACTCAATCGGCACCACTCCTTTCAGACCGTCTCTGACTGTTCCTTCCATTGGTAGGTCGGGGTCCACCTCTCCCGGAACCTCTAAATCACCCAGTTCTCCTGCTGTTCCCCTACTCTGTTCCTTAGACCCTTGGCACACGCCCCCTCTGGGTAGGGGGACCTCTTGGTGATCCCAGAATATTCCTGGGGGATGAGAGAAGGTGCCCCATCACCCAGGCGTATGTGAAATCAGCTGAGCCAGCCAGTGGTTGTGTGGGACTTCAGGATTTATAAAACAATTAAAATATTTCTATTTGAACTCCTCGTGTATCCTTGGGGAGAGGGGTCGCTAGAGGGCCAGTGACGCGGGAAACACCTGGGAAGAGGGGTGGGCTAGTTTCTCTCTCTCCTTCCTTTGGGCCCAGGACTGGGAGAGAGTCTAAGGGGACCAGTCAAGAGGGCATTGAAGACGTGGGGTAGGGCCAGTCTGGCCTCTTTAAAAAAAAAAAAAATGGGAGGACTTTGGCTGAACCTGCCCCCTCTTGGGTGGGGGCACTGGACTGGAAAGGTATGAAAATAACAAGCTTGTGTCCAAGTGGGGGAGGAGACCAGGGCAACGGGAGACGGACAGTCATTCCTTGGGCTCTGGGAAGTCCGTACAGAGCAAGCGTGCGCATGGGCACACCTTCACCGCCGCTGCCACCCCGGGCCTGGTCAGCCCGCTCAGCTCAAGCAAAGTTCCAAACCTGCCCCTGCTTTGGAAGTCTCAGAAAGAACTTCCTTTATTTCTGGTCTCAGCCTCCCTGCCGCGTTACAGACCCGAGTGAGTTCTTCTTTACTATTCACCGCCCTGTGCTCTAGGTGAGGGCATGGAGACTTGCCTCAGGTGACAAGCTGAGCTGCCTGAGCCTCAGCTAGTTGCCTCAGAACCTGGTGTGGTTCTGGTAAACACTTGAAGGGGCACCTGGCCCGAATGTCCCAGCTAGGGACCTGATGATCTCTGTTGAAGGAGTGGCGGGAAGCTATGGCGAGAGGACACGTTGTTACATACCAGCCATCTACCACTCGGCCCGGGCCTTGCAAGTGCAGCCCCAAACCATAGCCCCCGTGTGATGTCCAAACAGGAGCCGCGAGCTGACGACACCCACACAGGACCTGAGAGTAGTCTGGGAGACCCAGTCCAGGAGCCACTGGGGAGCCTGGGCAGGGAGGTCAATCAGCCTCCCCACCCCCACCTCGGGTGCCAGTGTGGCGGTCACAGACTTGTTTGCCCAGGGCGGGCCTTACTCCGTCATCGTGGTTGTGTTAATAGAATCCACCTCAGGGTGGCTGTTGTACCACCCCAAGTGCTATCTCTGGCTCCAGCAAACACCAAAGGCGTCAGACGGGGCAGGAAGTGCCCAGGTCACACACTACCCGTGCCATCGCCGATGTGGGCTCCAAGCACCGGTGGGGACACACAGCAGGAAGAAGGGCACGAGAGAAAGGCCAGTTCCGGCCTCCTCAGTCAGGGCTCTATGTCTGCAGCTCAGGAGGCCCCGGAAGCAGACGCCTTCTCCCAAGACCCCGTGTCTACTCTCCGCACCCCACTTGCCTGGGCTATCTCACCCAGGGCACTCCGTTGTCCCAGGATCTTGCCCTTTACTTCCAAACCCCGCTCTTCCTGGCTCCTTTGGGTCACTGAGTAGGTGAAACTCTCATGAAAATCACGGGCCCATCTCCAGAGAAACACCCAGATAGGGAAGTCTGCATTGAAAATACCTCCAGGGTCACAAAAGGAGCCCTGGGCACAGGAGTTGAAGTGTTCTGCTGTGAATCCAAGAGTCAGTGGTTTGTACCTAGCGCCCATTGGCAGGAAAAAGAGGCAGCAGTCTCATTCCGTAGCCATTACAATCTCAGGAGACACACGGGGCAGTTCTACTGCGTCGCTAGATCACGATCAACCGGACCACCTTTAAAAGTTACCATTGTCCTCGTTCATGTGTCTCCACCTACAGCCTAGCCCTTCTCTCACCCACTTCCTTCTCACTTCCCCAGCCCTCCCCCATGACCTCTAAATGCCCTTTTCATTCTCTTCCGCTCCATCTCTGGGGGCACGTGCCTGACCGGGACAAGTGAGGAGGCAGCAGCCACCTCCGGGGTTAAACACCTCCGGCAGGGTAAGCTAGTCCGACCAGAGGGAACTCAGCTCCAAATGGGGCGTGGCTCCGGCCAGGCTGTCCTGGGGCGACGCTCGGGCATCCCCTGCTGGTCAAATGACCTCAAATGGACACTAAGTCCTATGGAGGACAGTAAAGAAAATTCACCACCCATCTATCTATCTATCTATCTATCTATCTATCTATCTATCTATCTATCTATCTATCTATCTATCATCTAACCTTGGCTCTTTGATACCACCAACAACAACATACCCCCACCCTCCCCCCCACACAGAGGCACATCTTCAGAAGTTGTCTCCCTTTTTTTAATCAATGGCCACATTATTCAGCTTTGGAAACCTGGACAAAAAGGAGGCTGAGCAGAGGCCTGGTCCAGGGTCTGAGGGTCTCTGAGTGAGTCTGCGTCAGAGGTGGGCCCAGCAGGGCTTGTCCATGGGGTGGGCACCGCAGTTTCCTGAGTAAGAGTCAGCCCCGCCCTGAAGAGGGGCACCTCAGCCCAAAAAGAAATCCAAGGCTGCCCAGGCTTGGCCTGTTTCCAAGGTCCCCCCAGTCTGCGGGGCAGTAAATAAATAGGTTAAGTTCTGAGCCAGGCATGAGGGGAGGGGGTTACACAGAGCCGGATCGGCTGCCCAGGGATCCCAAAGATTCCCGGATGCCACCCTGCCCGTGGCCAACAAGGAAGTAAATAAATAGACCTCCAACTCAAGAACAGGGAGGTTGGAGTGAGGAAACCCATGGAGTTAGTCATTAAGTCTCATGTTACACACAAACCTGTCCCAGCCCCTGCCAGTGCCTACAAAATCCTACAGGATGGGGTGAAGGGCTCGCCTGCCTGGGGGTACACAGTACCCAGCCCTGCAGTCTTGGAGGGGCTCTTAAGTCTGCTCTGCAGCTCCTGGGGCACCCTCCTCCTTTGGGGGTGGCTCCAGGAAAATTGGGGTGACTGATGGTGGCTTCTTCACCCTGCAAAGTGATTATGAAAATGTGTTAGTGACGAGGTCATTAGCCATGTCCCCCCTAAGTCCCCATTCTCCGGAGCAAGAAGTCACTCACGAGTAGGGGGAGGCAGGGACTCCCACCACCAGGAAGTGGTTCTTCTTCCGAAACAACCTCCATAGGCCCCGGTGGTTGCCACGCACATCCAGGTCCCAGATATGGAGGCACTGG